GATCACTTTTGGAGAACTGAAACAAAGTCTCTAAAAAGGGAAAATTAAAGAGAGAAGTTTTGGGTTCCTCACCAGATGACCACTGGTGACAGTTTGGGAGATCTCTTTCCAAGCAAACCTGCATCAATGATATTCATTTTATAATCTTTCATGTGATTTCCCTTAAAGTTTTAAAACGTGTCTACTAAGGAGAGGTTTCCACATGCTTATAAGGAGTGTTTCGTTCCCCTCTCTAACCGATATGAGGTCTCACAAAATAAGATTTGAACTTGCATACCCCATAGCAAGAAAAGTTAGGAAGCAGGCGATGAGAGCTGATGAAGCAGCGGGGGGCAAGTTGGCAGCGAGGGGCAAGTTGTTAGCGTCGGAAAAATGGAAGTAGAAGCTTCCAGAGATGACAGATGCAACAGTAGCAACAGCAGCAATCAAAGCAAAAACAACGAAGAACCCAGTGGCAGTGTTCCCAATTTGGAAGAAAATTGGAGAAAAATATACAGGAACTTCAAACTCAGCACCTGAAAATGAAACACTTGCACAAAATTACCACTAAAAGAAACATCAACACCATAGTTGAAAGAAGAACAGCAGAAAGATGAGGAAACAGAGTTGATTCAAACCAATAACAAATCCATTATCAATTGAGTGATTCATCACCCAGCCACCGATCCCGAAAATGACGATGCTAGCGCAGAAATTGAACAACAAAATCGACTGAGCAATGGCCTTCATATCTTCAAATGGGTTGTATAGAAGAAAGAAGGGTTTTGAGATGAAAGAGTTTTGTTTATGGCTTTAAACTTGAGAGTTCATCCTATGGAGAGTTGGGGTTTTGTTGAAAGCATTTTAAGGGAGGATGTCAGGTTCTTTTCTTGCCAAAAGGGATCAGAATTGGATGTAAAGGGGAAGTGAATCATTCTTGCTTGCCTCTTCTTTCACACACGAAATTTGATGCAATTTTTTACACATAAAGGTCTCACCATTTTTTGCTTTTCCATGGAGGGAGTTATATTCTTTGCCAACTTCCTTAATCCCAATATATTAATCCACCCAATCTATTGCCTTGTAGGTTTCCAACTTCTAAAATCCATCCTCAGTTTCCAATTAATTTTCAGAACATCCATCATGGTCTATGGTCTTTGAACTTTAAGAAAGTGATCGATTCGATCCATATTTGTAAAATTTCAACCAGCACAACGAAATTCGTTAATACAACTCATTGTTATCTTTTAAGAAATTTAGTGAATAAAGTGTCATGTCAAAAATTTGGAACTATATGGATCAAATTGAAGCATTAGAAAGCATAGTACCAAGTTGAACTAGTAAATTAATAAAAGAAAAGAAAAGAAAAGAAACTGTTCTACGAAATACCTGGGAAGGATGTGATTTCTTGGAATGCCATGCTAAAAAAATGCAGGGATTTGAGAATGGTTTGTAACATGTTCGACGAAATGTCTGGAAGGATTGTCGTTTCTTGGACGACGAGTATTGATGGGCTGCCGGAGTTATAGCTGCCTGGGATTCAATGGGTTCATAGATTTTGCAGTAATGGCAGAGTCGAAGATGCTATTGTTCATAGTTCATCTAAGACCCATATCATGTTCATCCATTAATTTTGGCTTTAGAAGAGAGAGAGAAAAAAAATCTTTAAATTCAAATGGAATGTGCAGGGACGCATAATTTCTTTTGCAAGAAAAAAAAAAATCTTTTCAAAAAACCGAATATTATATACAGTTTTAAAAAAAAAGATTTAGAAAATAAACGATGATTTGAATCTTAGATATGGCTTTTCAAAACCCTTTTCTGTTTTGTAGGCTATAAAATTTTCAAACAGATAAAATGGTCCAGATGCATCCAGGGAACTGAACGGACGCAGCAAATACGTTTCCGAATCAATTTTCAAACAGATCACCAACGAATTCAGGGCTGGGGGATTCGCAAGATGACGGCTATAGAGATCGAAGAGGAAGATAAGTGCTCGAAAATGGCAGAAATCAAGAAGGAAGAAGTAGAAGGTATTAACCTAATGTTGAACGAAGCGGCGAGGGATTCAGATTTTCAGGATCATCAAATACAAACTGTTGCATCAAATTCCGAAAACCACATCGAGAAAGCTCGGAGTAACGATAAGGAGGTAGGCACAGAATCGAAGAGGGCAAAGAAACGAACAAGAATCACAGAAGAAGAAGAAGAAGAATCGGAGGAAGAGGACGAAGATTTGGACAAAGATCCTCTACTGTTAACAGAGGAAATCGTAATGAAATATCACAGCTTCGTTGGCTACTTACTGCAAAGATTGAAAGAAGAAGAGAAGGATGAAGAACACCAAATGCAGATGTGGGCGGAGATTCTTGAGAGAGGAAGACGGCTGGTTAAGACTCTGAGTGTACGGATGAAGAGAGTGAGTTCTGAAATGGAGTGGCTGAAAGAGTTAGAGGGGTTCGAGAAGGAGTATTTGCTCAGGAAAACCCACTTTCCCCATATCTTTGCTCGACTGAAAGACATAAATATGCAAATAGTAAGCTCCCATAATATCAGCCTTGTTTCAGACACGAAGAACAGGGGCAATGTGCTATCACAGTGTTTGGATGAGCTTGAGAGTTCCAAGGAAGAACTAAATGAAATAATGGAGGGAATCAAAGTACTGAAGCAGGTGGAGAAGGATGAGGATGAACAAACACAGTAATATCATCAATAGGAGCAGAAAAAATGTTTCAGCGTTTTTCTTTCAAGATTTCATTCGAATTTCTACTTTCTTTTTTGTTTCAGGAACCTAATTCTTGGTTGGTCCTGGATTTTCAGGATCATTTCATGTTCCTTTACATTCCATTTTTTTGTAATCAGTAGAATCATGAAACTAGCAATTAATATAGCTTCTCTTAAAGTCATTTTAGAAAAATGAAAAAATATTTGTTGTTCTTCAATTTTCTAGCTATAAATTTACTTCTTCCAAGTCCAAAAAAAAAATATAAGGTATGATCTAAGTATAGTTATGATATTGTCCGAGCATATCTTAATAAATATAAAATATCAATTATCATTTTAATTTGATAACTCAAATGAATAAAAATCTAATTTAGAAATTTAATATTCTTTTTGTGGATCATGATATTAATATCAGTATAATTTTGATGAGAGAATATCCATTTTTTTATTATTTTCTTAAAAAAAAATGTTGTTAAAAGTAAAAAGAAAATTGAGAAGATACATGCATAAATTTCAAAACAAAAAACGAAATCCTTATCCAGTGATAATTTTCATCTTTAAACATAAAAATCTTATTTAATTTGTTGATTTGATTTGATTTTAAGCTTAATCTGTTAGGTAATATATAATTGTTTTAAGTTATTAATAAATATTTTTTTAACACAAATTTTATTTTGTAGGATGAAAATGATTGTTATGAAATTGGTCAAAATTTGACTATAAAAATGTTCAAATTTTGATCTAAATATAAAGTTTCTAAAGCCGTTTTCCGCTTTGTAGGCTTAGAAATAAGAAAATAGGAAGTAGAAGATTTTGAATCAGTAGATAGACTCACCGATCAATGGCGTTTCTTGAATCTGAATGACTTCTTCGAGTTCTTCGAGTTGAGTCCATCGCGATCTTCAGGCTTTTCCCTGCAAACGCTCCATTAGTTTAGGATTACATAGGGAGAAAAGAAAGTTGAGATTTCAAACATGATAATTACAGAAATCAAGAAAGATGAAGATATTCTCCTTTGGTTGAAGGGATGGACCTTGGAGTCAGATCGTGAATTCAAGATACAACATTGTGATCTGCACCACGTTTTGGGTGCTCGTCGAAGACTTGCAGACAAAGAAAGCCATGGCGGATTCAAGCATAAAATTGAAGAAGAAAATCAGGAAGATCAACATCAAGATGAGTTGCATTCCCGACATGATATCAAGGAAGACAAAGATATCCTCCTTCGGTTGAACGATTCACTTTGTAAATCCGTGAACGAGGCTTCTAAATGCAAGAAAGAACAGAAAGATCTGGATAGATACTTGAATGGTCATCAAGGCCTTGCAGACAAAGAAAGCGATGGCGGATTCACGAATAGAATTAAAGAAGAAAACCAGGAAGCTCTCCATGAAGATGCATCTCAATCTGGATATACTATCAAGGAAGACGAAGATTTTATCCTTCGGTTCATGGAGTCAGTTCGTGAATCCGTGAACGCGGCCGATAAATTGAGGAAAGATCAAAATGATCTGCATGGAGATTCGAATGGTCGATTTGATTCAGCTCCGGACCTTCTTGAAGAACTGGAGGAAATTTTGTTGAAATTCTATGAACTCATTGATCATACATTTCCGATGTTGAAAGACGCACAGAAAGCGAGATTCGAATTGCAGGATAACTTTGATTTTCTTGAGAAGGTGAGGGACCTGCTTCTGACTTCGTCTGAAAGAGTGGACAAATTGATCGACGAACTGGAAAGCATGAAGAGTCATGAAAATCAGGGGGAGGATTCGTCCCTCAGGACAACTCAAATTCCTGAAATTTTAGTTCAACTGGTGGAATTAAATGCACATTTGGTTGAACGTTCATTTCATCACGGCATTTCTTTTCTGTTTAATGATAATTGTACTGAAAATGAGTCGTCATCTTATGTAGATGAGCTTATGTGGGCCAAGGAAAACATGGCGATTGTACTTTTGAGAATCAGAGAACTGAGGGACCAAGAAACCTGAGAGAACATTCCAGGAATGTGAATCGACAGAAATTCATGCATTGGAAATGAAAGATGACAATTGAATCACTTCAATTGTACAATTTAAAAGCACAAAGAAGATTAAATAACTTGCACCAAAAGCATTTGTTCTGAGAACATTTTAGAATCAACACCACTCTAACCATTCAAGCTCAGTCCAGTCCAAGCTCACCTCTAGATTATCTATCTTGACTCGTACACTCTTATAAGGAATACGTTTTTCCTTCCAACCGAGGCGGAATCTCACAAAATCTTGAAAGCAGTCAATAAGGAAACTCACAGATGAATAAACCAAAAATGACAAATGGAATTAGAAATCACAGTCGAATAAAAAGACATCCAACAGAATAGAAATACAGCAAGCCAATTCTGAGGCGATGTCAAATTCATGGAACGGTATTAAAAAGACAGCACTAACGAAACAAAAAGAGAATCTAGGCTCATTCATCCTCCTGGCTGCGCAACCTAGCAAGCTTGTTGGTGACAACTACATCGAGCTGGGCAGCTCTCTCCACAATCTCCTTCCTCTTTCTTGTGGAAACATCATGTGCAATCTCAGCACAGTAAGTCCTGAAATAATTGAATTAGAAAAATGAATCAGCCATGCAATATATCTTTCTAAATCTAGTTAATCATCGAGTTCAGGAGTAATGACATAATTCAAATGAAATGTGAAGAGATCAGTGCTTGCCTATTGTGCATCATCAACAGTTCAAGCTCCTTGACGTTGTGCACAACGAACTTCTTGAATCCATTAGGAAGATAATGACGGGTCTTCTTGTCAGTACCATAACCAATGTTTGGCATCAAAGTGCATCCTTTGAACTTCCGTCGAACACGAGAATCAATACCCTTTGGTCTACGCCAGTTTGTCTGTCAACGTACATTTGAGCAATCACTTGGTAAATTTACAGGAGGTAAAAAAATTTATGCACATGTTTGACTTCACATTAAGCTAATACATAAGATAGATCACAAAATACAAAGATGCATCAAGCAGGTGTAAGATACAAGGATAAAGGATACAAAACAAACAAAGTATTAAAGATAATTGGGTATAGTTTACCAATAAGGACAACACGACATGTCACATCACCACTCAACTTATGGTTAAATCATGGCAAGTGATAGCAGTAGAATTATAAGCAAGGTTGCAGGGACAGAAAGCCCATAAGAAAACAAGAAAAGGATTTTAAAAGCATTCAGAAGAGGATAATGAAACTCTATACAGGGTAGCAATCTTTGCACTTCAAAGAAAATGCTGGATAAAGAAACCAGCTATCACGGACAATTAACTCCACAAAAATTTATGATAAAGAAAAGAACACTGCTGATACTGGTGGAGAGAGCCATTGTTAGAGAATTGAATTGAACTTCAATATGTAATTGCAATGCAACTAGCGTTTACTGAACAACATACTGATTCTTATTGCATGATATCGACCTTATCATTCAAAAGCCAAAGAACTTGTTGCACCAATATTCGCCACGGTAAACATCATTGCTGTAGCATACTCTTGTTATAAAATTTAAACAGTGGTAGGTTGAACAACATTTCATTAAGCGATAGCAGTAAGAGAGGTGGAACAATGAGAAAACTGAAAACGAGGAAAAAACTATCGTGGTTTTGAACAATTTATACAACTTAACGACACATTATGCTAAACATCGATAGTATCAAGCAATGCAAATAAGAATGGAGCGACAAAATACTTCGTGACATTCCTTGATGAGATAAATGGACTGTTAGCACCGAATAATCAACAGAACAACTTAAAGATCGAGATGGAAAATTGTACAGATTCAATGAGAATTAAAACGTCTCCATCATCACCAGTGAGCAGAGCGAAACACAATTCTCGTATGCATATACACATAGTTGAATGCAAAATCACTAGCAAGCAGAAATTCTAGTTATGCAGAGGAAAACTAACAATAGTTCATGTACATACTTTGACAGAGATCTTGCGGTCACTCTGGGGCCTTTTGAACTGCTTAACCCGCTTCTTAACGATCTTCTTCGTCAGCAACGGCACCGCCATATCTTCTTAGTTCCTATAAACTCTAAACCAAGCAGATTTCTCAGCTCCAAAATGACTGATTGAAAGAATGTTGACTCAACAAAATAACAACAGAACGTTTGAATCACCTACAGCCTAAAATCGCATTTGACTTGAAATAAACTACTTAATGTTGCAAGATCATATTGCAGTGGTGCAGTGGTGCAGTGGTAGAGCGTGAAAGCTAGAAGTCATACGAACAGAAGATAGGAATAGAGAGAAAGAGATATACCGGCAATCGGAATCGGAGTTTGCTTTCCAAGACCCCCCGAACTCGAATCTCAACCCTTCAGGTTTATATTTATATAAGAGGTACAGTGGATTGGCTGCGGCATTAGGGTTTTCGTGGGTCAAAGTTTACGGGTTTTTTTTTTTTTTTTTTTTTTTTTT